ATTATCGGTAATATTGAAGATATAATGTACAAATATAGTACACTGTAAATTGGTGTTTAGAGAGAAAGCACTTTTCTAAAAACATATGAGCAAAATGGAAATACTGTATGTTTCAGTGAATTGATTTCATTAAAATTTCGCTTTAACAACAATGTTGTGCGAGGCAGATTTTATGGAGCTCAGCCATATGCCATTACCCAGTGCAAAGGGGGAGGGGGGGGCGTAAATCAGTTTTACACACGCTGACAAAATTAATCCAAAAACATCACATTAAGGATAATATAAGTACCGTACATGTTTAGGAACGTGATTTTAGCTGCCAAATTTATGCTCTGTATTAATTATTAAAAATGATTCAAAGAAATCCAAACATATGTTCGAATGTGTAACTAAATCCAACGTAAAATGTGCAAGTCACGAAAAGACTCGGCCTGCCCCGAGCTGCCTTCACAAACATACCCAGCTGCAGCGCGAGCACCGGAACAGTAATGGCATTGGAACCGAATGGCTACTTATTTGTGAAGTTGTTAATGTTTTTAAACTTGAATAAATAAATTGCAGGGGGGGGGGGGCTAGCGAGAGTTTGGATGGGGTTATAGCACCCCCTATAGCCTCTGTGTAAAGCCATGCATGCAGATATGAGTGCAGATACGTAATCAGTGCAAAAATAAATAAATAAAATTGAAAAGAATTTTTGATAGACAGTAAATGCAAGCTCACTAAGGTAAAATAAGTGGTGAGTCGCCACGGTCTTATTTTAACAAACGATAACCCCCACCCATGTTTTGAAAAGTATTGGCGTTCCGCTTAATCAAGTGCCACATAAAGTAAATACGGTAAAGTCCAATTCTATAATTGGAGCCTGATCCATATTACTACTTAACATTCATAGTAGGAAGCAAATATCTGATGTTCGGCCCATAAATCAGCAAAAGTGCAGAAAAGGTATTATTTTAAAGCCGTGATTGACAGGTGATCTTGGCAGTGTTAGTGGGTGCGGGTGTTTACGCATGCATGGATGTATCCCTGTGCGTGCGTGCGTGCGTGCGTTCGTGAGTGCGTGCGTGCGTGCGTGCGTGCGTGCGTGCGTGCGTGCGTGCGTGCGTGCGTGTGTGCGTGTGTGTGTGTGTGTGTGTGTGTGTGTGTGTGTGTGCGCGCGCTGAGGAAGAATCCATACAACGAAAGCAGGAGTCCTGAATCATGAAGGAAGAAAAAAAAGCATGCATTGTTGGGAGTTCTATACCAGAATCTGACCCATTGCAGTGATGTCACTTCCCTCAGGCTGTTCTTTGGGAAATGCTGTTGTGATCAATGGCAACGTTTCTTCATGGGACGCTCATCAATAATTCAACTATTGTCACAAGATTCATTCCCTCTGGACTTTCTGAGCCTTGTGGAATAATCATTAAATCTATCGTCACATTCTCACTGTTGTTGTTGCTATAAATTGGCTAGTCACAATTCCCTATGTAGTGAAAGACTTCTTAAATTCATCAGTAAGAGGTTAGGCTCGAGACCTTAGTTACTCTTAAATCTTACCTCTTCAATTTATGAAGACATTTTGGACATGCACTGCAAATCAACCAGTCCTAAAAGTTCAGGGGCGGTGTGTTCAAAACAGATGCATTAACGCCACTCAGTAATAAAATAGGCTGTGCAGTCCAGGGTGTAACACTGACACATTGTTGAAATGGTATGTCACCTGGATTCAACCCTGAGTGGTGTCTATTTGAAATTCCATCCATGCCCTTGATGTCCATCCATCCATCCATTTTCTAATCCGCCTATCCTCACGAGGGTTGCGGGGCGTGCTATAGCCAATCCCAGCTGTCTTCGGGCAGTAGGCAGGGGACACCCTGAACGGGTTGCCAACCCAACGCAGTGCACACTTAGACGAACAACGATCCGCTCTCACAATCACACCTATGGACAATTTAGAGTGTTCCATTTACCTGCCATGCGTGTGTTCGGAATGTGGGAGGAAACCCTAGTAACCGGAGAAAACCCACACAGACCCGGGGAGTCCATGCAAACTCCACACAGGGAGGTCAGAACTGGAATCGAACCCCGCACCTCCGCACTGTGAGGCGGACGTGCTAACCAGTCGTACACCGCCCCACCTGTACAAAGAACATTGTTTGTGAATATAACAAAAAAAACAAAAGACCTCCTGACTCCCTGCTTAAGATTGAGTGCAATACGGTGCTGCAATCCTTGTTTTTTTAATTTTTAAGGTAGGGTGATTGAAGCTAGATAACACTATGTTGAGGACGCAGGATGTGCAAGAATTTTTTTTTTGTTTGTTTTTAGCTGATTCAAACTGAAAATAGCGAGATTATTATTATAATTTTATAGATTGTTCATTTATTTGTATCATGAATGTGGGCGGCATAGTGGTCGACTGATAATCATGTCCGGGTACTGTGATTTCCTCCCGCATTCCAAAAACATGCATGACAGGTTAATGTAACATTCTAAATTGCCCCTAGGTGTGAATGTAAGTGCGGATGGTTGTTCATCGATGTGTACCCAGCGATTGGCTGGCAACCGGTTCAGGGTGTCCCCCTGCCTACTGCTTGAAGACAGCTGGGATAGGCTCCAGCACCCCCATGAGGATGGTTCGATCAAAAACACTCATGCTGATGCTGTTTTGGGAATCGAAATAGAAAATGACATCAAAATGTGTGCTATATGATCCAACATGATGCGTGACTGATAAAATCGTACTTTGAGGCGACTGTGGTGGACCTCCTCGATTCAACTGAAGAGACCAGAGGAAAAACTGCTGTGTTCAAGTGTTTATTAATGAGCTCATTTCCACCCACTCGGGTTACCAACTGCTGAGTTCCTTTCTCGAATACATTCCTACTTGGGCTCTTATCGGCTATCAACACACACAATCAGCCAATGAAAGTGTGGTAGTTGCGTACCTCGGGGATGGCATGAGGGCTGAGAGGCTCACTTCGTTTTGCTCACGCCACTGTTAGTCATGAGCCGATCAAGTGAATTGTGTCTTTGATTCGAGAAATATTGATGTGTACTCTGCGGAGGCTTTACTCTGTGGGTGCGTTGAAAATATGACAGGCATATTTAAAAAAAACAGAAATAAATAAAAATATATCTCTGCCACAATAGATCCTTTTTCAGTCGTGAAGTCAACATTGCACATTATAAATGTTGAGCTTTTCCATTTCGACATTAATGGCTAACTATGTCAAGTCAAAGATTGCCTTTATTTTATATTTTATTTCCAAATTTTTAATGTAGAAAGACTCTTAAAAAAGTAAAAAAAATAAGTAGCTCATTCGTGTTAAGTGAAATCCAGAAGGGTCTTTTTTTTTTTTTTTTTTTAATAAAAGTAATTGGGGTAAGTCAAAAAAGGTTGTCTGTATATATTTTTTGTTAAGCAGGGTTTGAAAATCATGTAATAGGAAGTAATCATTTACTTTTAGTTCATTTTTCAAGGTACCCGTGGCAACACTGCTCATGACATATGCAACCTGGTCAAATAAGATCGTATTTCTCGACGGGTAGAGTCTGCCGGGCACTACCTGAGACAAACATCTCTAAGCAGGAGA